TCAGCAGTGGCTGCTGGTTTGAAGGAGGGCAACATTCTTTACTGAAATGGCAGGCAACATTTGTTTTGGCCCACATTATTATTTGTATTACCATTTAGGTCCTTTGTGCTCTTTTTGTGATCACAGGGTTCCCTTTCTGTCCTGTAGACTAGGGTTCAGGTTCTAACTTACCTATATACAGTGACAGTCTCCTCCAGGAGCCTCAAAAAACCTGCTTGGATGAGTGGGATGAATGAAACAAAGAGGCAAGAGTCCTTCAGAACTGTTGAGAAGGATAAAATGGATGGAATCGCTACCAAGTGAGCAGAGATGGGGCCAGACTCCAGACCTTGTAATCTGTGTGCGCGAAGAAGCCAGGACAGACTTGGTAGCCTCTGAAGTCAAAGACAAAGATGATTACAAAGCCAGATGTGAGCTATTTGGGCCATGGCAGCAGAATCCAGAAGGTCATGGAGGAAGGGTAGGAACAGCAGGGGGTGGGTCTGCTCCTGGTGGTCTTCCTGGAGGTGGTGAGCTTGGAGCTACTTTTCAGAGATAAGGAGGAATGTGGTTACTGGAAGGAGAATGTCTGCCACTGGAGAGAAACAGCCTCTGTTCTAGTTCAAGCCCAGACGCGAGTTCTTAGAAAAGTCAAGAATGCATTTCTCTCCAGGGTATTCACGGCGGGAGAGGTGGGTCAAACGGGTTTGCCCTTGTCACCAGCTGTGGAAACAGAAAAGGACGTCCCAGCTCCTGCCTGCTCGGGGAGCAGAAAGGCCTGGGTGACCTTGACTCTGAGTACATTGCCCCTTGGCAGCTCCCAGGACCTGTGTGCCCCACAGCTCAGGCCATCTTGATGCCAACTGTTAAGGAATGGACCCTCCAGGGCCCACCTCCTCCCAGCCCTGCCTTATAAGACCCCAGTCACCCTGGCATCCACAGCCACAGTAGGAGACAGCGTTCCCTGGGGTTTGGGACCTCTGGGCCGCACAGTTGTGGCCCGAGAGCCACCACATTCCTTGCCAGGTGACCACGCATGCCACACAGCTGAGGATGGACCTGAGCCAGGAATCGGACTTTCTAGGGACTCCTGGCTTCTCTCCAACTGCAAGCCACCACCAGGAGGACTGGTGGGCTTGGAGTCCAAGGCTGTACCCGCTGCCATGCAGCCTGCAGGTCCAGGGCTGGTGGATCTGGAGGAGCCCATCTCAGCGAGGCTGGCATTGAGGGCCTTTGCCTCAATGCTGGAGACAAGGCTCAGGCGATGTCCCAGCCTCTCAACTCTTCACCCACCAGCCCAACCCTGACCACCCCAGACGGCTGCCCGAGGCTGAGGAGTCGGGGGACGAAGGAGGCCTGCCAGGGAGGCCAGGGCAGGCTGAGGCACACCAGCTGAGGACACTGTCCCTTTGGACGGGCTAGTGCTGAAGGCGGGCTCTGGGAGTTGGGACCACCTCTCAACATCTCCTTGATTTCTGGGTCTTAGGGAAAACAGCAGAGCGTGCCCCTCTTTGGCTCGAGCCTGGAACAACAGACAAGAGAAGAGGGGTTGTGGGGAGGTCTTTGCATTATAGTCTTTGGATGAAAGAATTGTGTTCCCATCTCAGTTGCCCCCATATCCCAGAAGAGACTGGAAGAACAAGAAGGGGCCAGACGCCAGCAGGGAACAGCCATGTTGTGCAGGATGTCGGGGGAGGAAGGGAAGTTTCGGGGTGTGGGATGGGTGGTCGGCTGGCAGAGATCATGCTGAGGGTCATGGGCAGAAATGTGGCCCAAGAGCCCACTTTAAAGATCACCCTGCTGGGGACAGTCTGGGGAAGAGATTAACTTTGAGTGTCCTTGTCTCCTGGAGGCCCGGTTAGGGTGAAGGTAGTGAAGGTGGCACTTATTAGGAACCTCTTGGCCAGGCCTTCCACCTATATCACCTCTATTCCTGCGACAGCCCTGCAAGGTAGGTGCTATCATCCCATTTTTACAGATGGGAGAAGGATACACAGGATTTAAGTGTGGGTGCATGTGCTTGCAGGGACCCTTGACCTTCTTGAAGAGACAAATATGGGGAGAGGCTCCCTTGGGCTTCTCTCTGGGGGAGTGGTAGGCCATGGTCCAGGTTGAAGGAGCCAACACCTCCCTGGAAGAATGTAGGGTGTCTCAGTGTCAGCTAGGCTGATGAGCTCAGTCAGGACAAGGAAGGGCTGGGTGTGAGTGAGGGGAGAGGGGCAGGACCCTCTTAACATAACATCTGGCTTCCCCTGAATGCACAAGGTGAATACTTCTATGAAAATTTCTGCAGGGCTCCAAGTGAAGCGCAGGAGGGGAGTTGAGGGGCAGGGGTGGGGCACTCCCCAGGAAGGACTCTAGGGGAGCTATTGACAGGGGATGGGGGAGCTGCCATCCACTGTCTCTCTGTGGGGACAAACTAGTTCTTGCTACTTATCAGAGAGCAGGTAAGTCATGAGAAGAGGTTGCATTAGGCACACTGTGAGTCTGCCTGTGTCACTGGCAAAATTATTTCACTTCTGGAACCAATTCATTCATTTAACAAAACTGGGGGTACACCCAGAGTCAGGCCCTGTTCTGGCACTGGAGATCTAGGAATGAGCCAGCAAACAAAAGCCCTGCTCTCCTGGAATTTAGTTTTAGTTGAGAGAGAAGTGAGAAGCAACTTAAGGAAAATAAAGAATTTATCTGCTGTAATAAGTGCTATAAAAATATAAGGCTAAGAAGTGATTTGAAATATTACAGAGTAGGTGTGTAAATTATAGGCTAGGATGCAAGGAAGGGACATTGCCTGAGTAAGTTCAGCCAAGGAGTTTTCTGGAAGAAGTGTCTTCAGGAAGAGAGAATAGTAGGTGCAAAGGTCCTGAGGCAGGCGTGTGTCTGGAGGGTCAGAGGACCATCAAGGAGACCAGTATGGCTGGAACAGAGAGAGGGGGCAGGGAAGTCATTAGAGACAAGGTTGGAGGGGGTCACCGGGGTCAGATGCAGAAGGGCTTCTATAATACAAGTAGGGTTTTGGCTTTTACTTAAGGGTCCTCCAATGGCTCAGTGGTAAAGAATCACCTGCAATGCAGGAGACACAGAATACATGGGTTCAGCCTCTGGGTTAGGAAGATCCCCTGGAGGAGGAAATGGCAACCTACTCCAGTATTCTTGCCTGGAAAATTCCATGGACAGAGGAGCCTGGCAGGCTACAGTCCAGGGGGTCGCAACGAGTTGGACACGACTGGGTAACTGAGCATGCACAGTCCTCAGAGGGTGTGAGCAGGAAAGTGAGCCCTTGGTAAAATGAGGGAGTTGGGTGGGATGACCTTGGACGCTCTTTCTGGTTAATCAGTGACACGGGGCCCAGGGTCTCCACTTGGGATGGAGATGCCTTTCTTCACAGTGTTTGTGTCTGGGAGTGTGTGTGAGACAGAGAGTGTGTGTGGAGGGGTGGTGGGAGTGGTCCTGGCTGACATCTCTCCTTTCTTTCAGGGCCACTGATAAATCTGCACCAGGCAACCTCTAAAGGCCTATCTGGTCCTGAGATTCAGGAGTTTCTCCAAGTTCCCAGCCTGGGGGATGTCTGCTCTGTTGCTCTGGGCTGTGAGCATGCAGGTTTCCACTGGCAGCATGTGACCGGGGTGGGGTGGTGGCGGGGGCTTGGGGGGGACATCTGGTGAGCAGCTGGGCCCCTGGGCAGCCTTCTGGGTGGTGGGGAAAAGGGGAAGGAGCCCAGAGGCAGGGCTGCCTGCTGGGGCAGGTGTGGCTCCCCAGGACAGATCTCATACTAGCCAGACAGCTCCCCCCAGGTTCCAGCCTGGGTGGCTCTCTGGGGATACATCATTCATCCCCTTGAAGCAGGAAGTGTTGCTAAGGAGGGACAGAGCGGTGGGTGTCATCTGACCAGAGCCCAGGCCAGACCCACACCTCTCTGACCCTGCTGTTCAGAGGAGCCCGTAGGAGCCCTGGTCCCCAGTGAACCTCACAGACTGCTTGCTGCAGCCTCCCTCCAGGCCCGGACAAGGGCCCCAGTGGCAGAGAACAGGCCTTGCTGAGCCAGGGGTGGGGGGACACGGCTTGCCCTCCGGTTCCCCTGGATGTCTCCTGGCTCCAGTTGGGACACGGGCCCTCCCACTAGAAGTGTTGTCTTCCGGCCGCCCTCACCCTGCGGCACCAACCGGCATCCCTCCGGGGCCTCCTTAAGCTGCTGGTGTCTCCGGACAGACAGGTGCGTCTGACCTCACAGCCTGAGCTCAGACCCTGGGGGCCAAGTGAGGGGCCCCAGCCGAGGAAGCCCAGGTTCCACACCTGCTCCTCCTTGCAGCCCCAGCTGCTCCCCATCTCTGCCCGGCTCCCGGGGAGACACAGAAGGCTACAGACGGTGTCCTGGGCCCAGCGCCATGACCAGAAAGCACTCCCTCCCACCCGGGGCAGCTTCCAAGGGGCTGCCCACCATCCTGTCCGGTCTCAGGAGACTCCGGGCTCCAGAACAGGTCCTTGAGGCCGCATACATCAGGGCCAAGGCCACCTGAGCTGGAGGAAGAAGGTGTCACTGGGGAAAGGTTTGGGGGGACCCCCGCGTGGCCCTGAGTGTCTCTCTCAGATGCCCCCAGCCTAGGGACAGGGGAAGATCAGGGACTCTGATTCCATGGGCTGTGGCCCCGGCCAGTGACTTCCTGGCTCCTGGTGACCTTTGCAGGCGCCCCGGAGCTACACGGAGGCATCTCACCCCAGTGTGGGGGCTGCGGTTTGTTTGTGGACACTCACAGCTCCCCCCCTTCCTCAGGTGCTCTTGGAGGTCAGAGAATCTGCCCCCCCTCACGTGGAGCCCAGCCCAGCCCGCCCCCGGCGGGCCGGCAGGCAGGCAGGCACGAGGTGAGGGCTGCATTGCCAACCCCTCCTCCCTGCCTTTGTCTCTGCCTGCCCATGGGCTCGGCTGGGCTGTGGAGAGAGGGAGGGAGGCTCTTTGCATTCAGGCCCTGGGTCACTAGCACCTCACGACTCTTCCTCTGAAGACACAGCCAGCCGCTCCTGCTATGGACAGGTGGTACCTGGGTGAGTGCCCTGAACCCCGCCTGCCCCCACCATCCTGGACTCAAGTGTCTACCCCATCACTTTCAAGAGCACCCGCAGCTCCCCAGGAGGCTAGGGAAAGCAGCAATGGGGAGAGGCAGGATTTCTAGACGAGCGCATCTCCTTCTGGGGTCCTGGGTGTGCTGTCCTCTCTGCTCTCAGCATCTCTGAGCCGTCAAGAGCTGGGAAGGCAACTTGTCCCACAGCCCTCATTCTGTTGGTCATCTGCCTGTCCAGCTGTAGGAACTCTGAAGCTGGACTGCTAGCTTCAGAGCTGGGTTCTCCCACTTCCTAGCTGCCTGATCTCTGGGAAGTTATTTGACTTCTCTGTGCCTTCATCTACAAAATGGGGGTGATAATAATGCCTTCCTTGCCTCAACAAGTTGTTGTGATGATTAAATGGGTTGGTTTTTGTAAAGTCTTTAGGACAGTGTCATGCACACATAGTTAAAAATGTAACTATTGTAGATGTAGCTATTCATTTGCTGTTGTAGCTATTGATGTGCTCCCTATTTCTCTTTTATCTCTTACCCATCTATCTACCTATCATCTATCAAAACCATTGATCTATTTATCTATCTATGAACTTTTCACCTATTTTTATACTCCAGAAAGAATCCACGGTAGCTTACAAAGATAGACAAGATGTACTAAGGGAGCAAGATAATGTATAATAATGGGGCATCAGTGTCTGTGTGGAGAGCCCTGGGAGTTTGGGGAGCACAGTCATGGGGGTCTGGCTTTCTAGCCCTGGATTTGTCCCTGATTAGGTGTTTCAGGCAAGTCGCCCAATCTCCCTGCTCAATCTTCCTGGGCTGTCTAGTGGGGATCAAGGCACTGCCTGGGAGACCTCCAGGGGTCCTTGTGGGGACAATGACCAGATCAGTTTCTTTACCCATGGAATGGAGCAAACATGGAATTAACAGGACAGTGTGTGCAAGAGCCTGACACATGCTCAGCACCTACCAAATGTGAGCTCTGTTGTGTTTTCATGAATTTCCATCATTTGACCTTGGAAGCCAAAGAGATGAATGGGTGTCTCAGCTTCTGGTCTGCAGGCCATGACATTCTATCTTTCCATCTCACTCCCATGTTCATTTTGCTGGAAAGTGGGTGGCTTTCTTGGTATGACAGTGTATAATAGTAACAATAATGACACTTACTGTGTACCAGGCCCCCCACCATGCCCTTCGCTGCATTATCTCACTTTCTCCTCACAACCACCCATTTTACAGATGAGGAAACTGAGGCACACAGAGATTAAATAACTTGACAGGGGCCACATACTTAGCAAGTGGAGGAGCCAGGAAGTGAACTCAAACCTTGATCCCCTGTCACTGCTCCAAGCGGATTAATAGATGGAGTCCTTTTGAAGGGCTAACCTGCCCTTGGTGGACAATGGCCTCTGACCTTGGCCTTTTGGCTACAATTGAGCATGAAAGCCAATCTGATTGATTAGAACTCAGCCAGGAATATGAGCATCCATGGGGGACCTAGCACTGGGGTCCGAAGCGTGAACGGGGCCACAGTAGAGTGAGGAGTCCCTGCCCCCCAAAGCGAGGGCCTGGCTGTGGGTCTTCACCTTGCCTCTCAGCTGTGTGCCCTTGAGCCAGGGCCCTACCCTCTCTGTGCCTCAGGTGCCTCGTGTATAAAATGGGGAAATAACACGAAGTACCAGGAAATAACAGTTAGAAACATGCTTTTCAAATCATAAAAGCAGGCGCTCTCTCCGTGGTCTGGCTTGGCCCCTTCCCAAAGGAGCCTGTGGAGTAACGTGGGGGCTGGCACGGAAGCTGGGCTTCACAGCTGGAGAAGGACGTGCCAGAGGCTACAGGGACAGAGGGATTAGTGAGGGATGACTGAATCCCTTCTGACCGAGGTGTGAGCTGTTAGATGTGGCCTGGATGGAGGAAAAAGGTACCAAGGAAAGGGTGTTCCTGGGCATGAAGGCCTGGAAGCATGCACAGTGCAGTGGCTGGGGGGGTGGGGGCTCAGGTGGGCTCTGAGGGGCCAGGCACCCTGGGATCACCTCAAGAAAGCCCTGAATGCCAGGCACCAGCTGCACCGCCTGCACAGTGGTGGGAGACGTGGGCAGCTGCTAGGGTCGAGGGCCTCCGTGGGACCCCCGACCTTGACCCCTGAAGCCGTAGTACACTCTGAATCCATTTCAAAACCCCCGCTTCCCCGCTGTCACGGCCCCAGCTGTGGCTCCTCCACCTGCGGGGTGGACCCCATGGCCCTCCTCTCTGGAAATTTCCTTTGGGAGGGTTTGGAAAGACGGCCAGCTCCTCCCTGCCCCCACTGCCCCTGCACCTCCTCACGCTCAGCGGGAGCCCCACTGTCCACACCCGGGCTTTTCTTGTGACCAGGGTAAATATTACCTGGCACTGTTAATGTTTAATGCCCCCACCCCATCTCCGGCCACCCCACAGCCGGGCAGTCTCCCCGAAGCAGAGGCAGCAGAAAGAGGGCAGCGGGGACGGGCCTGGTCTGTGGGGGAAATGGCAGAGTTGACAGATGACGGTGAGTGTGTGTGCATGTGTGTGCATGTGTGTGCGTGCGTGGGTGTGCATGCATGTGTGTGAAGCAGGAGGTGCTTGGACCGTCTTTGGATGGTGAGCAAGACCCCCTCTTCTGTCTCCTGGCACCCCTGCCTTCCAGAGCACCCAGCACCCCTCTCTCGTACCGTGCCAGCCTCCTATTTAAGAAAATGTGCTTTTAAAAGAGGACCTCACCTTAACGCCAAAACAATCTAGCTTGAATGATGGAAGCTTGGATGTCAAGTAGGAGGTGCTGGGGCATGGGGGGTGGTGAGCATGCATCTTCTGGACTAAACTGAGAGCAGGAGGCAGATGGAGGTGAGGCAGGGCAGCAGTGGCGCCCCCCACCCCCGTCAGCCTTGTCAGGCTGGCTTTGGGGCGAGAGCCCCTAATTTCAGGACACAATGCCTAGAAGGCATCCTGCAAATGAGGGAGATTGGGTCTGGAATCTAGTGAGACTGCTGTGGACTGCAGTGGTCTCTGAGCCAGATTTAGAAACGATGAGGTCTTTGGGTGGGGTGGGCTCTCCCAATGTCTCAAGATGAGGTGGTCAGGGAAGAGTTTCCTGGAGTGGCGAGGGGAGTGGTGAGTCCCGTCATGGCTCTGACACTGACGCCCGTGTGACCTTGAGCAAGACTTGAACTGAAACTGGGGAGACAACCTCAGAGGCCTTCCGCGTGGGGACCGGTGCCCGGGGCCCCCTCAGACCCTTCAGTGGACCCTTCCTCGCCCGAACTCCCCTGGCCACCCACCCAGGCTGGACCCCACTGCCCAGGGCCCAGTCCAGCACAGCCTGGGTGGTGAGAACTGGCGCGTTCCTTTGACCTTGGGCACCGCTTCCCTAGCACCAAGAAGGGGCTCAGCAGGGCAGAGAAGAGGGGCCGCTACGAGACATGACAGAAGAGCTCTGGCCGGGCGCCCTCCAGCTGCCCAACAGCAAGTGCGCTCAGGTTATAGGGTGGAAGGGCAGAGCCATGACCTCTGTGGGGGGCTGGAGCCTGGATGGGACCTCCTGGTCTTGAAATGTCTCCTTCCTCCTGACCATGTGAGAGGCAGTGCAGCAAAGGGGTGAAGCACCTCGATTTTTAACCACCAATGGCCTGGGTTCATTCCCAACTCTGCCCTTTTCTAGCTGTGTGACTCTGAGTGAGTTGCTTAACCCCACTGTGCCTCCATTGTCTCATGGATGATACTGGAATAATATCAATGCCTCACAGGATGGTTACGATGGTTAAATGAGCTACTGCTTCGTTAGCCTCAGTCTGCCACATGCCAATACACTGTTTCTGAAATAAATTTGCTTTCCCCTAAGGATAGCAATGTAGGAGAGAAGGATCTAGAAACAGGGGTCCAAGACTCATTTCTGCCTCCAACTTTTACCGGAACTTTAGAGAAGTCTTCAGACTGGGCCTTGGTTGCCTCCCGTTTGGTGAATGTTAAGCTTCTATTTATTTATTCATTGGTTCACTTCACAAATATTCACCAAGTATTGGTTGCCCAAAAAGTTCGTTTGGATTTTTCTGTAAGATGTTATGGAAAAACCCAATACCTTTTGGCTGATTAGTCAAATGGAGGGAGGTTGCTGCTGAGGCTTATGGAAGACGCTTCTGTGGCCTCCCAGAAGTGCCAGCCCCACCCCACCGCCAGGCACGGTGGGTCTCTGCTGACCGAGGGGAGCCACCGAGGGCAGATACTGTCACCACCGGCAGTGGCGTGGTCAGGCCCTGCTCCTGGAATGTCCCTCCAGCAGCTTCCCCTGGCCCCCCTGGACCTCTGGGGGTGCTGGGACTGGAAGTGCGGGAGTCCCCCTGTTTCTGCGGCTCATCCCCACCCCCTCTGGCTCTCTCCTCAGGTGGCAGCCCCAAGGAGAACGTGGACCCGTTCTACTACGGTGAGTCTGGGGGGCCCCCCTCCCACCCTTCCTGAGTGACCCCCCCCCCACCAGGCATCCACAGTTCCTGGCCTCCCCCAGCCCTGCGTCATGTGCCCCCATCTTCCCGAGTTATTACGGTGGGGCTGGGGGGAGGGTCTGGGGTCACCCATCCCACCTCCCCGTCTTCTCCTTCCCCAGACTACGAGACCGTCCGCAATGGGGGCCTGATCTTCGCCGCCCTGGCCTTCATCGTGGGGCTCGTCATCATCCTCAGTACGTGGGGACTTCCTGTAGAAGGGGGTGCTGAGCGGGGCCCAGCTCCTCAAAGCCACTGAGCACACTGGCTTCCCGGGTGGGGAGGGGAGAGCCCTCTCACCCGCCTCCCGGGTGCCCTCGCCTCTCCCACGGAGGCTGTGAGAACTGACGGACACCCTGATGCAGACCGGCTCGTGGTCCGCAGACCCCCCAGGAGGTGCCCCTTTCCTCGAGTGCGCCCTCTAGTGGACCCGAGGGGTGCCGCCGAGATGGCGAACCGGCTCCTGCTGGCCCGGGGAGGCTCCAGTGCCCTTGGGGCAGGAGAAGGGAGGGAGCCAGCCTCCACTGGACACTCCCTCCTCCCAAACTGAGCGCTTTCTTGGCCCATTTAATCCTCTGAACAAACTGAGGGATGGCCGCCACTGTCGCCGCTTTCCAAATGAAAAACCAGACCCGCAGTGGTAAGTGCAGCAACCTGCCCGAGGTTCCGCAGCCAGATCGGAAGCAGAGTGGGTTCCATAGCACCTCACCCCAACCCCAGCCTGCTGCGGGAAGGCAAGCACCCCTGGCAGTCCAAGGCCTTAGGCTCCCTGCTAGTTTACCGTGGATCCCTGACTCCCTAGGCCTTCGTTTGCTCATCTGTTAAATGGGGATGATCCCACTTGTCTCACAAGCTTAGGGCTGGCAGTCAAAGACGCGGCAGCCAATGGAGTCCTTAGAAGGAATCAGTGTAGGCGTGGGGTGTTCTAGGGGAGAGACAGCTCCTTGCCTTACCCCGGCCCCAAAAGGCACACAGCAGGGGCTTAATAAATGCTTGCGGACTGGTGCAACCGGGAGAAAAATACTCAGAAACACGCCGCCGGTGAGAAGAAGATGGAGAACGTAGCACTGCCACTTCCAAGTCCTGGTATTCTAATGGGCGTGTTAGATGGTGCCCCGCTCACCCGGCCCCGATGGCTCCAGTCTGCAGACAGGGCCAGCCTCCCCATTCCCCTGGAGGTTCCCTGAGGGCCCCGCTGTATTGTGGCTGAGCTCGCAGTGACGGAGGTGGATGGGCACGAGCAAGACTCTTGGCCTTGGACTTCCTGCCGTCCTTCTGGAGCAGCTTCTGCACGCCCACCACCTTTCCTATTGTGCTCACCGTCCACCACGGACTTCCCTGTAGCTCAAACGGCAAAGAGTCTGCCCGCAATGCAGGAGACCAGGGTTCGATCCCTGGGTTGGGAAGCTCCTCTGGAGAAGGAAATGGCAACCCACTCCAGTATTCTTGCCTGGAGAATTCCATGGACAGAGGAGCCTGGTGGGCTACAGCCTGTGGGGTCGCAAAGAGTCAGACACGCCTGAGCGACCAACACAGACACACACACACAGTCCACCACGGACTGTGCCGCCGCCACAATAATGTTTGCTGACTGCCCAGCTGGCTGACTTGTCCTTCTGGACGCTTATGGTCCAGCCCATATATAAAGAGAGACAGACAGTTGTGGTCTCCGAGGCGGACACAGGGCAGCGCTGGCAGAATGGAGGGAGGAGGGGCTACGGAGCTGAGGCCTCCAGGGTAGAGACGGTCTCCTTGGCAAACTCACCTCGTTTCTCTCTTTAAGGCAAAAGATTCCGCTGTGGGGCCAAGAAGAAGCACCGGTGAGTGCCGGCCTGGGTGACTGATGGAGGTGGGCAGGGAGCGGTGGGAGGGGCCGGCGGAGGGTTTGGTCTCTCAGGCTTGTGAGGAGGGTCCGCCATCAGGAGCCCTGAATCCCTGCCCCCTCCACCCCACTACCTTTTCTTACCTGTCTGCTTTCTTCCATCCCAGGCAAATTCCTGAAGATGGGCTCTAAGGAGAGGTAGGTTTGCGAGGAGCAGGCAATGGCTCTGGATAATAAGGAAAAGTTAAGGACTGGAAAAATTTCAAGGTCTTTCATCCATCAGTCAGGTGTCTGTCACACTCATGTGGTTCTTTTCCTTGTTGGTTAAAAAAATTTTTTTTATTAGAGTATAATTGCTTTACAATATGTTAGTTTCTGTACACCAGCATGAATCAGCCATAAGTATACATACATCGCCCCCACCTCTTGAGACTCCCTCCCACCCCCACCCCCATCCCACCCCTCCAGGTGATCCCGGAGCCCCGAATGAGCTCCTGGTGCTCTGCAGCAGCTTCCTGCTATCTTCCTGCTTTGCACATGGTACTGTGTATGCGTCAACCCTACTCCCTCGGCTCGTCCCGCCCCCTCCGTCCCACTTGTGTCCCCCTCTCTGTTCTCTATGTCTGGGTCTCTCTTCCCACCTTTTTAAAGTGATGGCCAAAAAAAACCAGAAAAAAATATGCCGTAGTATGTGTGACCAAGGGAGGCTGCCGAGATGCACCAGAGGAAGGTAAGGTGAAAAAGGGATGAAATGGAAGTCCTAGCTTCTGCAGCCCTGCTCACAGCCCCCATCCTGCCTTTCTGTTTGCAGAGCCAGCCGTGCCCACCCTTGCACCGGGGCTGCTTGGAAGTCTTTCCTGAGCTGTAGACCTCTGTCCCAGCACTGCCAAGCCCTGGGGCTGAAGGAAGCTTCGGGCTCCACATGACCCCTGGGTGGGCATCACCTCCTTCTGCCCCGTGTTAATAATAAAGCCGGCCTTGGAGACAGCTCCTTCCCTGGCCTCCTCCCTTGCTCCTTCTCTCCTGTAATGGCCACCATCGGCTCCTCCAAGCTGGAGTCAATACAGCCTGGTCTCTCGCTTTTCCATTATTCGCTCACATGCCCACGCCTGTGAGGCCTGTAGGCCTCCACCCTACCGGAATGGACAGGGGGACAACTTCAACCTGAGATGGGGTCACGCTGGCCCCTCCCACCAGTCCCTGACTTCCTGATGCCCGTGGCCCCCAGACAGCACTGCATGCTGCCGCCTCGGGCAGTTTCTGCCTTCTGGAAGGATCCTGCCTTCCCTTTCCCTCCCCTCCCTCTGTGAGAAGTGGAGAGGCGAGGCGGCTCTGAGGCTGGATGGGATGGTGGGATCATGGCACCACCTACTGTCCATTTCCTCATCTGAGTTTTTGCGGGTCCAAGGGAAGGGGGAGAGATTGGCCTGGGAGACCAAGACAACAGCAAGTCCGCAGAGTTTGAAATGAACGAGGAGGGCACCGGAGGCAGTGTGGGCCGCACTCGGCTTGAGAATTGAGTTCTTTGTCTTAATCCACTGTCCCCAGGCCCACCACCCCTCACAGACTCACAGAAGGCTTGGGGACTGAAGGCCAAAATAGGGAGCAAAATAGACAATCCTTAATTTTCAGAAAGAGAGACTGATGTCCTGAGAAAGGCAGTGACGTGTCCAGGTGACAGAGCCAGCCGGTGTCGGAGCCAGGTGTCTGGCTCCATTTCAGAGTCCTTCTCACTGACCCCGTGTTGGGAGGAGACACTCCAGGGAAACACAGAGTGGAAAACTTGGCTCTTGCAACTCAGGGCCAAGGTCTTTGTGACACCCTGCTCTGAATTTGGGCTCACGGATGACAAATAAAACCTGACAGGCCAAACCCCTAAATAGAATTCAGGATTTCCAAGACACTGGAGCTGTCCACGGCAGTGGGAGAAATGAATGCAATGGGGCAGGTCCAGCCATGGGGGGTTTCAGGAGAGCGGGGGAGTAAAGGGAGGGGGGAGCTCCTGAAACTTCTCGGATATAGCAGCAAGGCAAACAGGAAGAAGGGTATTCCAGGCCTGCAGCTCGCCTGAGAAGAGCCGTGGAGAGGTGTCGTGTTTCTAGAAGGTTCCATACACAGGCCCTGAGCCTGCCAACCCAGCTGCCTTGGAGGGGGCTGGTCCTGGGTGAGTCTCTTCAGCCTCTGCCCCTGCTGTAAGCCCTCCGTCCCCGTGAACCGTGAGGCTTCTCTGAATCCCAGGCTGTCACCCTGGAGCACCTGGGGTGCTGTGCAGACTACCCAGTGTCCCGTCCAGAACTGTCAAATATTAACCTTGGGGCGGACCCATGCCAGCTGTTACTTAGCCAGCTCCCAGGAGAGCAGCTGCTGCTGAAAACCACAGATCCGGGTAACATTCAGTGCCCTCATGAACACTCTCCCCCTCCCTCTCCATGAAGGTCACAAGGACTGGGAGCTACTGAACGTTCACTTCACTTTGGGATTTTCCACAATTCATACACAAATTAAGTCACAAATAAACACCAAGACTGGGAAGTGATTGAATGAATTACTTTTAATCCCACAACAGTGACAATGACCGCCTTAGTCTGAGGGAATGCAATTCCGTTTGTCACCACCAGAGGGAGGATGTGTCTTACTCCAAATCCTTTTCAAACAGTGTTTTCAACTCAGTCTAAGGGCTGGGAGAAGAGGGAGATAGAGAACCAGGTGGTTGGATGGCATCACCGACTTAATGGTCATGAGTTTGAGCAAACTCTGGGAGATGGTGAAGGACAAGGAAGCCTGCAGGGCTGGCGTGCTGCAGTCCATGGGGTCGCAAAGAATCAAACAGGACAGAGCGACTGTATTGGGAGTCCTTTCTGGAAGAAGAGGCCTCCGGGTCTACCAGATGCCCCGATTTCCCAGGACCGCCTTGAGTTCTTTCCATTCTGTCTGCACATCCCTCCGGTGTAATTTGCCCTGCTCTGGTGTCTTGAGCCCTCACTGCTTCTGTAAGGGAGAGACCCTCTGTGATCTACACGTATTCCTCAGCTTGGGGTAATTATGTAGCCTCCAACCACATAGTCTGAGTTAATCAGCGTATGAGCAGGACCTGGAGAGAGGCGGGCAAGAAAGGGGAGTCCCCAGGAGCCCACCCTGAGCATCCCCACTGGTCCTAACCTGTCCCAGGGAGTGGATTCCCTGGGCTGATAGGGATGGGGTGGGGTTAGGGGTGCTGAGCTGAAGAGGGGTCCAGGGCAGAGAGGACTGTTGAGGCCCCCGCCTTGGGCCCTCCTCTCACTCACCCCTGCTGGAGAGATTAATGGCCTCCCTGTTGATCCTCAGCTCCAGGCAGCTGAGGTCTGAACTGCAATTCTGCAGGGCTCTGCGCGGTGGTGACCTGCTCCTTGCCAGGCGCTCATTCTTCATCATCTGCCTGACAAACACATGGGGTGGGGGTGGGTGGTGGAGATCAGAGGCCAATGCCACAGCCGCCTGGCCTTGTCCTGTCATCACAGCGAGCCTCTGGCTGGGAAGATGGATCAGGCCTGGGCCTTGGAGCCAGGGCCACAGCAGCCTCAGCCCAGGGCCTTGAGAGGGGAATCACGGAGCCGGGGACTGGGCTGAGATAGCCAGGGAGGTGGCCAAGTGACCCAGCCTTAGGAGAAACCCTCAACTTGGCCTTGGTGTTCCCCGCGCCCACTGGGGACACTCAATGTCCTCTGCAGTTGAGTGGCTGAGAGCATGGGAAGAAAACCTATTTAGAACTTGAGACCTTGGGGTCCATGACCTCAGCTGGGGGGCCCGGGGGTGGGGGGCGCCTAGGGAGGTCACCACAGGAAGCCAGGTGGGGGCTTTTCCCCAGGGGTGGACGGGCCTCATGCCGGGACAGCACTGGAACCAGCTGTACCCGGGGTGGTGGCCCCCCAGGCTCTGATTCGGTAACTTATTTAGGCGGGAATTTCAGGCTGCCTGCTCTGACCCTATATGACCTCCCCACTCCCCCGGAGGCCTTGGGGCACTCCTGGCTGCTGTTGGCCTCTGGAGTTCTTAAACTTGGTTCCCTTTTCAAGAAATTCGTGCTGTTGCTTCCCCAAAGGGCTTCCTTGGTATCACCAGGAGGAATTTCCCAGGTGAGGTGGCCAAGGAGAGGTTAGACGAGGGGAAGTTTCAGGCTGGGCCAGCAGTTTCAGGCCCCAGAACCTCATTGGCGGCCCAGTGCCATCCATGCTGGGGACGCTGGTCTCACTGCCAGCTTTGGCCTCCGCCTGCTGTGTGACCCTGAAACGCCCTCGTCTGTCTCTGGACTTGGCTTTGGAAAAAGCAAACACAAGACCAAAGTTGCAGGTGTTGGCTTCAGAGTCAAGGGGCTCTAGGAAGGTCCCCTTGTTACCCCCAGCCCCTAGATGAATAGTGCCCAGGGAGGCTGGGAGTGCGCGCGGGCGCGCGCGCGCGCACACACACACACACACACAGACACAAATACACGCTCACTCCCTCCTAGCAGTTAAAACAGAGGTACCAGCAAGTGATGAAGGCAGACAAAAAAGACACACTTGACAAAGCAAGGAGATGAGGCTGGCTTGGCCCAGAGCCAGGAGCCTGTTGTATTCTCTCGTGGTCTTTGTTTCCTGAAAGGCCTATCAATCAGTAACAGAGTCGTGCCAAACCCAGCTGCCTGGAGCCGAGTGGCCCCCGCCCTGAAGCAAATAATATTTCAGGTCTCCTGTCCATGGACCATCTGCTCCTGAAGCAGTGAGTCACATCACTGGGGAGTGGCCTCAGCCCTCAGTCGCCCGCCCTGAGCAGGAGGTAATGGGCCCCGCGGGGTCTCAGCGACTCCCAGACCCTTCCTGAACTCTGCTCCCAGGGGACTTGTTGGAGACGCTGCGTCTCTTGAGACTCTGACCATTCCTTCATGTCTGTCTGTCTCACGGTCTGCAAACCGTATGAGGGTGGGGGCAGAATCTAATGGTTTACCCACCAATCCCCAGTGCTGCACCCATCAGAGGCCTGTAGTATGTGCTCAGTAAATGTTTGTTGACTGAGCTCGTAACTGGCTGACCAGAGGAATGAATGAGTGATCACCCGCAGCTGCACCTGCTGCTTCCCAGCTTCTCAGGGGGCAGGGAGAGCTCCTGGGCATTGCAGTCTGGTCAGCTGGCTGGTGGTGTGTCTGTCTGCACCCCTGGAGCCTGAACCGGGAAGGGGCT